AAAAAAAAAAGAAAAAAGAAAGAGAAGAAGAAAGATAAAACAACAAACACAATTATATCCCAAATATAGAAGATTTCTATTATTTTATTTTTAAAAATATATTATAATGCACTACTGCAGCAGTTCCCATTGTCTCTGCTCACTGCCACAGGGCAGTAGTATAACACTGTAGAGGACCTGTGCATCTTGGAGAGGTGGAGGCAGCATGTTCTGATGCATTTGAGCCAGTCTGGATTGCAACAGTGAGGAAGACATAGGTCTGGGCTTCAGCATKAATTACTCCCTCCCTGGTACCATCTTTTCACTCTTACTGGCACTTCAGCTGGTTTGATCCATGGATTAAGCATTCCAGCACATGCTGGGATCGCTCCCACCTGCCTCCAAGGAGATACGCCTTTGGACAGCAAATGCTTTTAAGAACATTCAAAGACACAAAAATGACTGTACAGCCCTACCTTTAGCATGAGTTACATGCTTCCCACTTTATCCTAGATTTGTCCTCCTCTGTTAAGTTTTATGTGAATTAAGCTGTAAGCTTATAGAGGTATCAACTTGTCTTGTGAAGAGTCATGAAYGTTCAGGGTACAAAGGAAGAAACAACTAAGCACATCAGTTATTTTTAACCAATAGATTGTTTTTTAATTCAAACTTTCACCCTGCAAACATGGGAGGACATGTGCCCTTCTAGAAGCCCTGCCTGGAGAGGGGCTTGTGCCACTGCCATRTGGCTTCCCATCATTGCTCCTGCTGGCCAGGTGTCAGCAGGTACAGCACAGAGTGCCCCCAAAATAACCAGAGGCTCTGTGTTCCCAGGACTTAGGGAGCAACTGCCTTCCAGCGTTTCACTTGTGTCTGGGTTAATTCAGAGCAAGGCACAGGGAGGATGGCAGGAATTTTAATCTGCTGACCAGCAGCTTGGGCAGGATAATCTGATTGAACACCTCCTTCTCAAAGCATTGAGCCATCTTCCCTGAGATCTCCATGACAAGCAACAGAGGCAGACACTACCCTGCATAAAAAGGACACACTCTGGAATTCATTRTACACACCACTTTTGCTTTGCTTGCAGCTTTGCAGTGACTTTACAGCTGYTCTCAAGGCACTGATGAAAATGTTGATTATCCACTGCAAATCCTCAGGAGCTTCCTCTGCCCAGCAGTGATCTCCCCTGTAATTACGGACTGGAACTCTGCCTCAGCCAATACCTGCTGCATTTCACACRCTCCTTGTACTGCACTCAGCTCCTGTGAACTCTCACACCACGTGCTGCTAAACACCTTACAGAGTGCTTTTTATGGAACAATCCTGTGGGTATCTTTAGCTGCTGAATTTCATATCCTGAAATTGAAACTTTGGCAGATGGCTCGTGCAACAAAAGGCATTAACAGAGCAAACCTGAGGAGGGTGCACACTGTCATGAAAACCAACACTCTAAACCAAATCCCATTGCTATCCTGTGCCCCCTGAAAACTGCCCAAACCTAAAACATGTTTGACAACCAGGGCTAGCATCCCATGGGTTTAAGTTCACATTTYGACAATGGACAAGTACCCACGGGACACTAAATGGAAAAAAATCTTGATTATCACTTTCATCATGGTAGAATTAGAAAGAATGCTTGGTGTCAAAGCCGTCTAACACTTGCCATTACCATAAGACATTTTCAGCCACTGAGTGATCCCAGCATTTTAAAAAAAMCCAGAAAAAACCTTTACAAATATTAATAAAGTTCAACATCCGTTTGACCAAGGGATTTGAGGGATTTGGAATGCCAGCTGAGTTTTGCCTCCTTGTGAAAATTCATTAAAAATTGGATAAATATTAAACCTTTGGAATTTCCTAAGGCCACAAAGTAGAGGCYTTTCAGTTCCAGGGAAGGAGAGAAAAAAAAATTAAATACTAAATGTCACAGATTCCACTTGCATTAAGCATGCTCCAGGTCTCACAGAAATGAAGATGMTAAACAAAAATCTTTATCAGCTACTCATTCAGTGAAACCATCTTATCATGGGCTTAAGCAGGCACACCCTGGAAAAATAGTGTGTGACCTTGAAGCTAAAATAAATTTATAAGTTCAATTATGATTTTAGATACAACTCTAAATATGGCATTGCATAAATTTTGTGCACAATTCAAGCCAAAGGTCTGCAAGCTATTTAAAGTGGACAGAAGATGCCTTTTGTTTGGACTTTTACACTCCATARGAGATTCTATGTAAGTTCTGGGATTTAAGCAGTTTTACATGGCTTTTACATTACACACAAAACATCAAATAGAAAAGAAAAAGAAGAAAAGTTACAAATGTTTGAGAATTTTATTCCTTGCTGCTGCTGGAGCTTTCAGAAAGAGACAACCACACATACCACTACTGCCYATTTTCCCAGTGCTGTGTGAACCAYGAGAACCACACCTGGGCTCCTCTCAGCCAGTTCAATGCCAGTGCAAAATAAACGTGGGTGCCTATCCCTGGTTGGAAATAAAACCAGTCTGCTTTGCTCCCTTCTATTTAGCTGTTTCTCCTATTGTTCTTCATGACTATTTCCCTAAGCATTTCCTTCAGCTATCACAYTGCTCTGAAATTGCTCTGGCTTCTCCCTTCTGTCTCATTTCTATTTGCTCTGTGTTCTTCCCTGTAACTTTTCTGGGCAGTTCCCCTGAGATTACTTTTGAGGGACTACCCGGGGTAGTCTTTTATTTCGGTGCATTTTCTAAAACAATTCAAAACAATTGCAGGGAGGAACATGAAGTCTCAGCAGGCAGCTCTCCCTTCACCGTTATTACCTGTTGGTATTTCTGTGCACCTGGAGCCCCAGCCATAGTTCAGTATTCACACTGCAAAGGGCTGCCAAAAGGAGCTTAAACTGTAAGCATAAAGAAACAAGTATCACAGAGAGAGAGGCAGACTGCAGAATGATGGAAGAACAAGTCTGCGAGGGCCACGGCATTTTTAAGCAATCTTGGAGTGTTATTCAAAATTGTATAATTGCAAAGGATGTCACTGAAGGCTTTAGAGGAAACTTCAAARATCACTTTTAAAAGAATTTAGATAGGCCACAGCTTTCAAACCCGTCCCTTGTACAGCTCTTATCCAGTGAGAGAGGCAGAGATACCACCTCTAAAGACACCACTCCAGGAATAAACTGGTACAGACATGACAGACCAAAGATAGCAGATTAGGAGGAAGGGATAAAAAATGTCAGAGCTCACCAAATAGCTCCAGGAACAAGACAATCCAGCTGCAATCCCTCATTCTGTCCATCTGCAGAATACTGAAGGCTAATAGACATAGACATTTGTAAACTACTTTTTGTCTCCATTTAGTCTTCCATCTCCTGTTCTCAGATTTACCAGATCACAACAAATGCTAAAATAAAATATGGAAACTCAGAGCYTTAGCCAAGAAGCACACCTCAGTGGCAAATAAAACCATGAGAAGCAGACTGAGTGTCCCAGAATAACAACATTTCTAATACACTGAGCAAAATGAGGTAATGCCATTGCATCCTGATGATAAAGATGCTGCCTCTTCTGTAKCTCTGTGATACTACTGGATTTAGGAGCACAGGCAGCATTCCTCATTGAGAATTATATCTCTGATGGGAAGGGCACAGGAAGATTGCAAATGTGCAACATAAAGTTTGGGTATGCAATGCTCTGCTGCAGAGYAATAAAATGAAGGGGCTGGAGAGAGAGCCTGTGGTAAATGGAGATTGCTGCTCTTTCAAACCCTGCTAACACCAGAAATGGAGAGGAAGAAGGACATGAGGCAAAGGAAAAGTCAGGGGATGATGTACCAGTCACAAGACCTCACCGTGCCTGGGAGCACATTATTAACTGGAATCTCTGCCCCCACCAAGGCTGGAATGTGGTTTATTCTCTACCCGTCAACCACGAGCACTCAYTGTCACACAAACAAGGTACAGCAGAACCACTGCAATCCATCTGCAGAGGCTTTTGAAAGGTTTCTGCTCAGGCATAACTGGATTAGACGTGGAAGGTGTGTTTCCACTAGAAAATAACCATCTTATCAGCCAATGCTGCATTTCTCAGCGGTCAAGTAGACACAGAGGCCTAGAAAATGCTCTTCTACGAGTGGTAATATAAATGAAGTTACATCATTTGTACTGATTATCAAACAACGAGGAATTTTTAGCCACAAGAACAGAGGTGCTGAGAGCCTGCAGTCTGGGTGGATGGTCAATGGCCAGACTCACTAGCCCACACTTCAAACATGTTTACCCAACTTCCTCAAAGCTATGGAGGACACCTCACCACCCTCTGCACATGGCTCTGATGGCCAGCATTCATTTGGAATGATCCTATCTTCAGTTTCTAGAGTCTAGAAATGCTCTGCAGACTAGTTCCACTCTTATCTGCCCCACTGAAAAGCTCTTACTYTGCCTGAAGCAGGAGCATTGCTCGAGCCTTTCCCTCATCTTCTCTTTGTTCTGCTGTCAACACAGATGCAGCTCCTTGGACTATCCAACACCACCATACTTCTAATTTTTTAGCAATTTTGTTTCTTCTCGCCAAGCATCCTCCCACTGACCAGTCTAAAATCAACTGCCTGYTCATTTCCCAGGCCATTCCCCGGGCCCCACCTGCCAACAGCTTCACAGTGACTAAAAGAAACTCCTGTCACACTCCTGTTATAAAGTCCACAAATTCAGTTTTTACTAATGTTTCTCAGAGTGAATCCGAAATATACTTTATACCTAGCAAACAAACAAAGGCAGGCAGCAAAGCACAGTAGAGACAAAAACACCTCAAAACATGGCATTACTAGTGCTTTTTTATCTTTATAAAGAAAAAATACTTTCTTCTTCATTGATAGAGCTRAGCTAATAATTCACTACATTGGCTAAAGATAAGTTGCACCAGCAATGTGCTCGTTCCCATGGATGTCAGGAAGTTTCTGCCCTGTTTACCTGCAGACATACAT